AGCACCACCGTGGGAAGAGGTTCGGTGCACGGATCAACTTTTGGCTGCCGCTGACTCGCCGTTACCATCACCACAGGCAGAAGCGGCGTGTGCCTCACTGCGGGAGAGAAGCTGAGGGGCTGCCAGCGCCAAGAGCTGGGGGAGATTCACATCTACACGGGCCCCGCAGCTGGGGGGATGCAAACTGCTCCACGAGTTTCGGCTGCCTCCTCTCAGGGACAGCCACGGTGCAGCTGCATCACCACGGGCACAGTGGGCATGAGCAGGGCAGTGGCATTGAGAAGGATTAAGCCAAACACGGAACTTGGGTCCCGTGTCACCTCAGCTCTGGTGCAGGCGCCGGTTACTCTCGCGGACTGACCGGGTCACTCCGGCACGAAGAGGACGAGGAGGGGAGTGACCCCGGCTCTCCCAGAGCCACATCCGTGCCTGCCTTAGAGCCTTGGGAAGGGAGGAGCAGGGAGACGGGGAAGTTCTGAGGTGCACCTCGTAAGAACCCAACTTGCTCCCGCGCCCCAGGGCGGCTCCTCTCCCATGAGGAGCAGAGATTCCCCGCACCGTCCGCCTTCCCCATCCTGGCCGTTCGCTCCGGCTCGGCCGGTCCCGCTGCCGGGCCGGTGACAGAGCATGTGTGAGGTGCGACAGTGCCCGGGGCCGATGGTGCTCCCCGAACCTTGTGCTGCCGACGTGAGCTCGGCTCAGCCCCACATTCCCACCGCGGCCGCCCCGCTCGCACAAACCGCGGAGCAAACGCTGGTTTTCCCCGAGCAGGAGCCGCGGCGTAAATCAATCCCCGGGCGAGGAGGCGGCTGCCGGCAGCGCCGAGCCAAGGCACACCCCTCCATTGCAACACAGCCCTAAAGATAGCCCTAAAGATTGCCGCTGTCCCCCGCTGTCCCCCTGCCACCCCGCCGGCCGCTTGGACCCCGCCGGGCACCGGGGAAGGCAAACGCCACCGGCACAGCACATGGCAGCGACCTGCCATCGGGTTCAAACCAGGTTTACACCAGCCCCTCGTCCCACCCACCAACTATAGCTGCCAGGAGGGAGAAATTCGGGAAGGGTCAGAGGGATTGCAGGACGCCAAACACGCCTCTGGGCTGTAACATCACCGCAAAATGTCCCCGTCGAGGAGGGGACGCGGCGACATCACCCTGCCCCCCCCGCCCCCGGACCGCAGGGGAGTCGATGGGAAGATTTTAGCACTGCCCGGGTGAGCCAGGACAGGGACCGACGGCAGGAGAAGCCCCCGGGACAGGGATGGACAGCAGGAGCAGGGCCCTGGCACTCCCAGGTCGGCTTTGGGAACCGTCTCGGTGGGCACAGACGGGTCTGGGGGAGAGGGGACAGAGCTCTCTCGAAGCTCAGGTGGAGCTGCTGCACCCCGGGCACAGCCCCGGCAGCACCAAACCAGGACCAAGAGCCGGACCCGGGTGCCAGAGTGGGAGCTGCCACCTCCCAGGGCGGGACATGGGGGGGCAGGGGGCACCTCACTCCCTGGGTCTGCAACCGCCTGTCCCCCCCACTGCTCCGGTGGGAACAACACCACGGGGGGAAACCCCCCGGTCCTGGGGTTGGCACCCACCGTGGGACAGGGCCCCAGCTGCCTCCTGAGCATGAGCCCACTGTGGGCCCCGCTGCTGCCCCCCCAGCCCTGCCACCCCACATCCTCCCCGTCAGCCCCACTCAGAGTCCCGGGGCCGGCCCCAGTGCACCCCATTCCCCCCACACCCAGCCTGACCCCATTGGGGACCCCCCTACCCCACTTCCCTCCTGCCCTGTACGTTTCCTGACAGCACTGCAGGTGCCTCCCCGGCCTCCCCCAGCCCTGGACACGCCTAATTTCCCCACAACCCCCCCGCACCACACCTCACCCACTGCGGGTCCCCCACACCCAGCCTGACCCCCCACAAAACTCTGAGCCCCCTAAAGCACCTCATACCCAGCTTGACCTCTACGGGTGCCCCTGGCTGCCCCAGCCCCAGGTCACCACCCCACACCCAGCCTGACCCCACTGCGGACCCCACACCCCACAGCACCCCGTGTCCCGCTGCAAGCCCCCAACCCCACAACCACCCCCCTATGCGCCCCAAGACCACCCCAAGTCCTCCTATGACGCCGCACCCCACGACCAGACTGACTTACCACGGGCTCCTCCAGGGACCCCCAAATCCCCCGTAACCAGCCTGACCCCTGTACCCCCCTCCCAGAGCTCCCCGCACCCCCCGCACCCCAAAACTTGCTTGACCTCTACAGCCCCCCCAGGCCCGCCTATATCCCTCCAGCACCCCACAACCGTCCTGATCCCCCCAGGGACCCCCAAATCCCCCCATGTCCCCCCGTCCCCTCCCCACTCACCGGGGCCGCTCCGCTCCGCACTCCCTCCACCTGCACCGCCGGCCCCGCCCCCTCTGACGTCACCGCGCCGGCCCCGCCCCACCGCTCGGGCGGCCGCGCCCATTGGCTGCCGTCGCCGCCCGTCAAGCGCGCGCCGGGGAGGGGCGTGGCCGCCCGCGCGCCGCTGCAGTAGGCGGGGCCCGCAGGTGAAGGGGCGTGGCCAGGGATCCCCCCTCCCAGCGCCCCGTGACGTCACCGGCCTATATAAGGAGAAGGAGCCCCCGCGGGAATCCCCGCGGGCCGCGGGGGACCCCTGGCTGGGCCGGGAGAGCCCCAATATCCCACCCCCCCAAAAAAAAAGGATCGGGGGATTTTTTTTTTGCTCGTTTTCACCCACTTTCTTAACTTTTCTTAGGGAAACCCCTTCCCCACGGGGGCCGGGCCAGCCGGGGGTTCCCCGTCCTGCGCCCACCCCGAGCGGCTGCGGCGTGGCCGGCGCTGATAAAGGGCTTCGGGGTCCCTGAGGTGCCCCGAACCCAACCCCAGCCCCGGGGCCACACCCGGGCTATCGGGGCCGCGCAGGCGGCGACTGCGGAGATAAAGGGGGACAGCGGCTCCTGCGGGACCGGGACAGCCATGGAGGGGGCGGCGGGCTAGATTTCGGTCCCAGTCCCGGCCCGCTCTGCTGTCCTGGCCCTGCGGTGGCACCGGATGCCGGGGCTGGGCTGGAGCAGGTGGGTGCTGCCCCAGGGTCACCCCCAGCCCCCCCAGGGCCAGCCAAGGCCCTGCGCCCCATCGCACCTTGCCCCAGGTCAGGGTGTCCCCCTGGGGACGGTCCCTGGTGCCACCTAATGGCCACCGCCCTGGGGACACCGGCAGGGACTGTCGCCGTGCGTCCGTCACCGCGTGTCCCCCCCTCTGCCTCCACCAAGGCCTTTCCAGCCCCCCAGGAGAGCCACGGGATGGATCCTGCCCCGGGCTCGGAGCCTCAACACCCCGCAGCTCAAATGAAATGGGGGCTTGTCCCCCTATCCCCTGCCCCTCCCTGGGAGCCCTAAGCCTTCCCCGGGGAGGAGGAAGATTTGGGAGGAGGAAGAGCCTCTCACCCTCGCCCCGGTGGGAGGGGAGGGAGCCCCTGGCTAATGTGATGAGAGGGGGATGAATCCATAAGCTGTTAAGCCGCTGCAAAGCCCCTCGCGTTCTGGCCCCGCTATCACCGACTTCTGCTCACATCTGCTCCCGGGGTTATTTTTAATCTGGTATTAAGGACTTCTGGGTCCTTCAGCAGGCAGAGCAGGGGCTCTGCTTGTCCCCCCCCCAAGCAGGAGCTGTGATTTGTGGGGCCTCTGAGGCACCAACACCAGCCCCGCTGCTATTTGGGTGGGGGGAAAGGGACCTTCTGGGACCCCCATCCCCTCCACACGCAGCCATCAGCTCTGCAGAGGGTCCCAGCACTGGTCCCTGCAGGCTGGGAGCACTGGGGAAAGGCTGGAGGGGGAACCAGGCAGGAGCCTCACACGGGATAGAAAAGATAAATATATAAACAAACAAATAAATGTATAAAATATATAAAAAATAAAGAGATATTTATTAGCGTTGAGTAAAGTGCAACCTCAGCGTGGTTGGAGGCTCAGCAGCCGAGGGAACGGCAGGAGAGAAGCTCAGAGAGAGGGAATGGCACGAGCAGGGCTGTGCCAATGGGATACAGGAACTGTACAAGGGCCTTAAAAACAGATAAACAACACCAGATAAATTATTTACAGTTCAAATCGATTCAGGAGGTTGAAGGCTCAGGACCGGCTGCAGACTGGGAGAGCAAGAAGAGGGAGTGGGATGGGACATAGGCCCTGAGCTGGTATGTCAGGGGAGTTTGGGGGTTTGGGGCAGCAGTTGGGGGCAGCTGGGACTGTCCCCTGGCATCAGGCTCTGCTCTGGGGGGAGATGTAGTGGGGTGAAGCCTTGGGCCTGCTGCTCCTGCTGGAACAGGAATTCACTGGGATTTGCACATGGACTGTGATGAACAGGATCAGGCCCTGTGCCTGGATGTCTCTGCTAAAGATCAGCAGAGGTTTTCACACAAGAGCTCAGCAGTTCCATGGAGCTGTGGAGCTGCAGGGGCTGCACTGCTGCTGGACACACCACCAGCACCTTCCTGGGCTGGTGTCCTCTCCTGGAGCTATGGGCTGGCAGCGGGATGTCTTTAATGGCAGAGACTCTGTCAGGGCTGTGACAAGGTGGGAATCCTACTGGAGACCTCAGTGCCAATAGCCCTCTGAGTCACTGTCTAAGTAACTCCAGAGGGGATCTGCTCCATTTACAAATACAAGAATTTTTCTTGCCAGTGCCTTAAACTCCCCAGGGAGGCCTGAGCTGAACAGTGCTCCTCCTACTCACAAACATCCAGAGCTAAGACTCTGGAGCCAAAACACAGCTTCAGCCCCTCTGTGGATGTGTGAGCTGGTGGGGTCCAGCCTCTCTCCCACCCCAGAGCCATTTCTGAAGAGATTAGGAAGAAATTCCTCCCTGTGAGGGTGGGGAGGCCCTGGCACAGGTTGCCCAGAGAAGCTGTGGCTGCCCCATCCCTGGAAGTGTCCAAGGCCAGGTTGGACAGGGCTTGGAGCAACCTGGGCTAGTGGAAGGTGTCCCTGCCCATGGCAGGGGGTTAGAACAAGATGGGCTTTAAGGTCCCTCCCAACCCAAACCATTCTATGGTTCTGTGAAATGCTCATCAAGGCACTAAAAGCTGCCCAGAGCAGCACCCACAGGGGACAGGTTTTGGTCTGGCAGCCTGGCCCACCCCCAGTTCATGCTGGAGGAGCTCCTGGGGTCTGAATCAGGAACTGTGCCCACTGTGCTCTGGGCTGGAGACAGGCTGGAGCCACGTGGCTTTGATCCACTCTCCCCTCTGGCCAGTGGGAACAGGGATCAAGTTTGCAGCTCGAGCCTGTGTCTGGTTCCTTCGCTGCCCTCTGCGGCACCGCGGGTGGGGGTCAGAGGGCTGGAGCAGCTGGGGCTGTTCCCCCCCAGACCTCAGCTCACTGGGACCACTGGTGTGAACAGTGCTGCTCTGGAGAGCACAGCCCCTCACAGAGGGGCAGAGGCTGCATTGTCCTGCGACACAGTCACCAAAGCCCCTCAGATCCCTCCCGACGCCTCGGATCCGGCCCGGGGAGGGCTATTGCCGCTCGCTCCTGACGTGGTCCCCGATCATCCGCCTGTGGTAGGTGGCCAGGAAGATGTCGTTGTCCCGGGGGCAGTCGTAGTGGCAGGAGCACACCTTGATGAACATCATCTTCCTGTGGAAGGAGTCCCCCTCGGGGCAGCGGAACTCCACGTCGGCGGTGCTGGTCAGGTCGGGGGTGCAGCACCGCCCGTCCGAGCAGCTCCCGCAGAACCGCGGCCGGTACGAGCGGGTGCTGGTGCACCCCGAGAACTCAAAGTGGAGGCTCTGGCGTGGCCTTGGGGTCCTCACGCACTTCTTCCCTTTCTGGGGAGAGAGTGGATGGATTAACACAGACAGGAAAGACGCACCGAGGCCTCTGCTCCATCCCCGTCACTGCGCAACGGGGCACGGAGACAGCGGAACCACAGAGCAAAGCCCCTGAGCCAGCACCATTCCCAAGGTCTCCCCTGGCATTTGGGGAGCTGTGTCCCCCTCTCTCCAAGCCCCTACCTTGGTTTTCTCCATGGGGAAGTCGCAGGGCCGGACCATGCAGAGCCGGGTCTCCTTCTCCAGGCGGCACTGGGGGTTGTCGTTGGTGACGCGGGCGGAGATGCCCATCCCGCAGCTCCGGGAGCACGCACTCCACGCCGTGGTCTGCACCAGGCAGTTCTCCTGCAGGTTGTTCAGCTCAGGCTTCTGGGCTGGGTCCTCCCTGAACACTGAGCCATGGGGAAGAGACACAGGGTGAGGCTCAGGGCTCGGGACAAAGCGTGGCAGCTCCACGGCTGCTCCCAACCTGGGCTAACGCTGCAAGAACAGCAGCAAAGGTCTGGCCCGTCCCGTGAGCTGCTCGGCCTCTCAGCAGGGGGAGGATGCAGGGAAGCATTTCCTACCACAGCACAGCTCCAGCCAGCTCTGCTGTGACACCACAGGGTCCACACAACACCACTGAGCTCTTCCATCAGCGGCTCTGGTACCCACATGCCAGAGTACAAAACCACGACCAGTTCCAAACCAGTCAATGACCCAATGCACAGGTAGTTTGGATCCTCTCCTATTCCCCAGCAAACAGCTCTTGGCCCCATCCATGAGCCCCAATCCACAGGTAGTTTGGATCCACCCTTATTCCCTAGCAAACAGCTCCTGGTTCCATCCCATGTGCCCCAATTCAGAGGTACTTTGGATCCACTTCTCTTCCCCAGGAAACAGCTCCCAGCTCTGTCTCACATGCCCCAATCCGCAAGTAGTTTGGATCCATCTCTCTTCCCCAACAAACAGCTCCTGGCCCCACCCCACACACCACAATTCCACAGGTAGCTTGATCCCACGTACCCCAACCCACAGGTGGTTTGGATCCACTTCTCTTCGCCAGAAAACAGCTCCTGGCCCCATTCCCCGTGCCCCAGCCCACCGGCAGTCTGGATCCATCCCTATTCCCCGGCCGACAGCTCCCGTTCCCATCCCACCCGCCCCGCTCACCCGCCATGGCCGTGCCCAGGTCGTTGTCGCTGCCCTCCTCGCACACCCACTCCTCACAGCACTTGTTGTGGACCCTGACCCTGCGGGGGTGGGGGCAGTCGGGGGATGGCAGGCGCAGGTCGTCGGAGCAGAGCGGGATGCAGCCGACGGCGCCGTCCAGGCAGATGCACTGCAGTTTGCACGTGGGCTGGAAGCTCTCCCCGTTCAGGTAGATCTTGCCCAGCAGGTCACACGTCGCACCCTCATGAGCTGTGGGAGGAGGAGGAGGAAGAGCAGAGCTGAAGTTCTGCCTCAGGAGGAGGGACAGAGCCCACCCTGCCCTGCTCTGCCATCTCGGTGCTGGATTGTGTAATATTTGCCTCCCTGGATTCAAGGCTGCTCCTGGCACTGATTTTTTGGAACCGCCAAACCTCCCAAAGCTCTCTAGAAAAATTTCTCCTCCATTGGGGTGAGCTACCAAGTGTGACACTGCCTTTACAGCCCGTTCCCCAGTCAGTGCCCAGTCAGTGGTGTCACATCCCTGACACGGCACATGAGCAGCGACTTTGCTCCTCAATACTCCTGGCAGACCAAAAGGCAACGTTCTCCCAAGAGCAGCTGGTTCCCACATGGCTGATGGCACCTACAAAGGAAATGACACTTCGGGCTGCTGACCTTTCTGGCCCCTCTGTGATGCACAAATCTCTTCTTCCTTCCAGCTCCAATTTTTTCTAGTTCTCTCTCTTCTGATCTCCATGTCTCTCATCTCCAGCCCTCCTACCAGTCTTTCCCTCCCTCCTAATAAAACTTGGGCATAAAAGGAAACACAACAATATCTGACACAGAACAGCAAAACCTTCACTCTGCTCCCCAGCTCTTATATCTGGCTTAACCAAAAACTTTCCCAGTGGAAGTTTTCCAGCAGAAATCTCTTATTTGATTGAGATCAGGAATGGTTTCAATAGGAATCAACTGAAGCATTTCATTTTGATATCAAAGATTTCCTTTGTGCTCAACCAAAATACTTGTGGGACAGTGTCCATAGCGGGAAGTGTTTTGCTCTGGTAATTATTTTGGGCACTATAAAAGATCAAGATGAGATATTCTGATAAAATGGAAGCAGAAAGTTTTGACACAGCCAAATGAGTATTCTAAATAAATAATGAAAAAAAATTGAGGGTGTTTTTTAAATATATAGATATTTAGATGTATTTTTTATATTTTTTTTTTCTATCAGCCTGAAATGAAATGTTGAAATCTCAGAGTTGTTCACGGGACAGAAATCCTGATTTTGGACAGTTCTCAGCAACTGCTGCTTCCTGCAAAAACCCATGCAAACCTCTATTGGGAAGTTAGCAAAATGAAGGATTCTTGGCTGCTTGTGGAGGCTTCCCAGGAAACCTGATCTATTTTGTCCTTAGTCCTGCTCACCCAGGGGACACTGTGTCAGGCAGAAAGTGGTTGGACTAAACAAGGAGTGAGAGCCTCTTTCCATCCCATCCCTTGAGGGGACACAAATCCTTCCGGACTGTTCCAAACCGGAGCTGGATCTCAACTTGCAACTCTTTTCAATGCCACTGGGATAAAAATACTCCTGTGCTCCAACTTAGAAGTTTCAAAATCCTCACTTTTTCCATCAAAGTGGAAGCCATCCATCCACCCTCCCTCCACACAGCCATTCAGACTTATTTTTAAACCCTCTCTCCCTGTTTTTCAGCCCGAGCGCTCTCCCGTCCCGCTGAACGGATCGTGCTGTTCCCTCTCCTCCCTCCCCACCCAAGGAATGGCAGCTCACTCCAGGGGTTGATTATGTTTTCCAAACTCAGTGGTTCTGTCGTGCCCTTCATTACCCTCCCTGACCTCCCTTTCCCAACGACCTGATCCAATTAAGGCACCGAAACGACGGCGCCTGCAGAGAGAGGTGGTTCTTTATTCCCTGGCAGTGCCCGACCCCAAACACCAACTCCAGCCAAGGAGACTTTTGCCCTTTTCCACAGGGAGTATGTCAGGGCTCAAGGAGCCTGTCCAGCTCCTCTGCCAGGTCCCAACACCCACCCAGGCCACTCTACCACCGGTAGGAACCCTACTCTAGAGTTACTACAGGATTGTCTCTACCTTTCTGATACTCCAAGGTCTCTGCAGGAAGAGAAGGATTCCTCTGCATCGTGTGGAATGTGATAACATTAAGCAAATACACAATAATTTTCCTTCTGAGGGTTCCCTTCCCACCTCTGCTGATATGGCCCTCGGGCTGGTCCCAGCTGAGACGCCTTTCCCGTGACACTGGAACACCTCAGCTCCTTTCTGCTCCCAGAACATGTCTTTCTTGGATAAATGTAAGTCACATTGATCCTTCCCCTTCACTGATTCACCACTCCACCTTCCTTCCCTGCCTCCAAAACCCCCCTTCTTCCAACAGATCCATGTGGACACCACAAAAACATCACCCAAGGACCTTACGGCTCAAATCCTCAGATCATTTCAGGGAGATATCCTGGTCTGGGTTCACTGGGAGTTTTGCCATGAAAAGCTTAATTTCTCACTTAAAAGCTGGAAGGATAGTTGTGTCAGCAAGTCTGATTTCCTCCCCAGCACGAATTTGGGACTCTTACTCCAAAATGTTGGGATCAAACCTGATATTTCACGGTGAACACAAAACACCTTTGTCAGAAGGGTGTCCAGGCTTTGTGGGGAGACTTGAGAGGAAATCATTCCCGTGATTTCACTGCCTTTCCTCCACAAACCCATCCCTCATTCCCAGTGGGAATGATGCAGCCTGCAGCTCACACTTTGCTGGGTGTTATCACACCTACGTTCACCTTATTAAACTTCAGTCCTCAGCTCTCAGGTGTCAATGCCTACAGAAAGTACCAGGAGCTCCCATGGCTCCTAAAGATCCCAAAAAACCGAGTGAGGGAAATGAAACAACTTATATAAACTTTTCAAAATTAAAAAAAAAACCAGCTTCTACAAGTTAGATTCATTTAGACAAGGGCCTGAAGCTCCTGGCAGAGATGTGGCAGAGGAGTCTCGTTTTCAAGCAAAGAACAGGAGATTGAGGAAATACTTGCTTTTTTTTTTTCCCCTCTTGACCAAAGTCATTTTTGCCTGTTTTAAAAAGAACCACCAAATAAAAACATAAAATCAAAAAAAAAATTTCTTTTCTGGCTGAAAAAAAGGCACGAGAAAACAGTTTCTTGCCCTTGTGTTTACCTGGCTCAGGAATTCCCATGTTCCACACAGACACAATGCAGTGAAGGAGCTGTTCAGCTCTTCCCACCCACACATTCCAGCCAGAAACACACTTTGGGAGCAGCCAAGTGCAGAACACCCATATGCAGTGCAAGGCAGGGGGATTTGGGGTGGGATTTTCCAGGAAAAAGTCCTTTCAGTAAGAGCCCAGATTGCTGATATTCGCCCACAGGGACAGAGGATGTGTCCTAAGGGTGTCCCAGGACACAGGAGAGATCCACAGCCCCACTCACGCCTTTGGAGCTGAGGGAAGGAGCTGTGTGTGTGTGTGTCAGTGGATTTGTTGGCTCCCAGGGAATTCTGCTGGGTGTTCTGGGAGGCGCCACGGAGAAGCCACCCAAGAACAGAACATGCAGGTCTCACCTAAGCAGATCCCGCTGCCTCTGTGGATTTTGGAGAAGTCGCAGTAGAGTCCCTTGTGGTGGTCACAGGGCCTGTGCAGGGAGCAGAGCTCTCCCAGCTGCCTGGCACACACCTTGCAGCAGCCACAGGCATCCAACACGTGGCTGGTGCCAGCAGGGCACTGCAGAGGCTGGGAGGGACACTGGCACGGGAAGGTGCAGGCCTGTGCTTCTCCCTGCGGGGCAAAAACCCACGGAGAGGATGAGTCCGGGCAGGGAAAGGGAAAACACGGCTCTGCCACAAGCACAGACACCCCAGAGAGAGGAGGGAGAGCCCAGGGACTCACAGGACTTTTCTCATCCCTCATTCCTCTGGAGCTCCAGGGGGAAAAAAGATGCCTCTGGGAAGCAAAGCCAAAACAAACAGGACAAGCAGTAGCTCGGAGTCCCCTGCACAGCTCACCCTCCACCTCCCTGGAAGCAATAAAGTGGTAATTATTAACAGCAAGCAATTCCAGCTCTTACACAGGACAAACATCAAAGCCTCTGCAGCAGCAGCAGAATCAGACCCAGCTGGAGCTGGAAAAGGACGTGCACAGGTACAGAACTTGCCCAAAGTCAGGCAGAGGGATTGGAGCAGTGCTAAAAACTGACCCAAAGGCTCCCATTTTGTGCCCTGGATCTCACATTTCCTTCGTTATTCCCAGAGATGTGCTCTCTCCTCTCCCCTTTCCAAGGAACACAACATAACCAACCTTCCTCGGGACTTTGTGACTCCAGAGCTGCCCCCATGGGCAGCATTTCACTGGCCACCCCTTGAAACCCACCCGTGGATTTATGCCACTTCAGACACTAAACAGAGACCAGGCTGTGGCTGAAGGGGGGTTTCCTGCTCTGGAAAACCCAGGATGTGTCCAACACCCCAATCACTGAGTCTGTGCCACCTTTGTCCTGCATCTGCCTGGAGCAGCTACAGCAGCTCAGCTCTGGATCTGCCCGAGTCTGGGAGATGTGACACCCTGAAGTCGCACCTAAAGATCCTCTGAAACCTCCTCAGTGCCAGCTCCAGCCTGGTTTTCTGTTCCTGCCCACTCAAGTCCTCCCTTGCCCTGCTCCATCACCACTCCAACCTGCTCAGGCACTGCTGGACACGGCTCAGCTCCCACCCGGGGCTGACACGACCTTTGCACATGGATGATGCCACCAAAACACTCTGGGGTCCTGTCCTGCTGTGATCTGGGTGGAGAGGGAGGCACCCAACTGGACAAGCCCCTCACAGCTCCACTGGCAACCTGGGAGAGGGGCAGCCAAGCTGGGAAGAGGTGAGGGACACACACCTGGGACAGAGGTCAGAGAATAAATCTTTCTTTTTTTACAGCTCTGTTCGGACTTGTCACATCCCACCCAGCCCTCCCTTGGGAAACAGCCTCCTTGGATATTGTGTTTGTCACCCACAACAGCAGGAAAACTTTTCCAGCTGTTTTGACTGTTGCTCTGACTTGATCTCATGTGGGGTAGGAAGGTGCCAACTGCTTTGTACGGCTGGAACACCCAGCACAGCCCAGGGCAGGACTGGGAGCGGGCTAAACCTTCCCTCAAAGTCGTGGAACTATGGAATCATAGAATATGCTGAGCTGGAAGGGACCCACAAGAATCATCCAGTCCAACTCCTGGCCCTGCACAGACACCCCAGCAATCCCACCCTGTCCCTCAGAGCGTTGTCCAAACCCTCCTGGAGCTCTGGCAGCCTTGGGGCTGTGCCCACTGCCCTGGGGAGCCTGGGCAGTGCCCAACCAGCCTCTGGGGGAAGAACCTTTGCCTGAAATCCAATCCAAACCTCCTCAGACACAAATCTAGCCATTCCCTAGGGTGCTCCCAAGGGCTGAGTCCTCCCAGAATCTCCCTGCTCAGCAGAAATCAGCCTAATTCTCCTGGATCCGTCCTAGCACAGAGTGTTTTGGAGCCAAGCCCCTCCTCCCCGCAGCCCAGCTGTTCCCAGCCGGCAGTGCTGGAGCAGCTCGCCGGGAGCTGGCACGTCACAGGGATCAATTCCCAACCACTGAAGTGCATTAAAAGAACTAAAAATACAGAAATCTTCCCTACTGTTTTTTTCGTGTAGGCAACTGCTGGAGCTGCCAAGGGATGTGTTCTCCAGCCCCGGGTGAGTGGGTGGGGGGTACGTGAGCTCACACAAGGGGCAGAGCATTCCTGACACGGGATCTCTGTTGAGATGCAGTCCATGCACTTCAGAAAAAATAATGGCAACAAGCATTTTCCAGTGCAGTGTCAGCCACAGGCCATAGAAAAAACACTCTCAAAATAGCTCTCCTGCTGAAATCCAAACCAAAACAACCTCTTGCGGGATGACAGGACACAGTGGAATTAAACTCATCCCTGGAAGTGTTCAAGGACAGGTTGGACGGGGCTTGAAGCAACCTGGGATAGTGAAAGGTGTCCCTGCCCATGGCAGGGGGTTGGACAAGATGGTTTTTCAGTTCCCTTCCGGCCCAAACCGTTCCATGATTCTGTGAGTTCTCTTCCTTGCTCTCATCAATCCTTGCTGGCTCTGGTGATTTCCTTGATAACTCACCCACACAAACCACCTCACCTGGTTTTACCTTCTGCTTTCAGAGCACAGCATCTGGATTCAGATCTCTGGCATGTCAGAGACTTGCTGGGTGTCCCTGCACCCACCTCAGCTGTTCCTCATTTCCCCCAGCTCAAACCCCCAGTTCATCCTGGTTTTCAGGGCTCTTTCCAATACTCTTTCCAATACTCCAATTCCCACCAGTCAGCTCGGACCTGCCTCCCTCCATCACCCAGAGGGTGTTGGAGCTCCTGTTTTCTGGTTTTATCACAGAGCAAAGTCAGCCCACGCTATTTATAACTCCTGCTGCTCTCCCAGGTCCAGGAGAGGAGGGAATGAGCTGGAATTGGGTTTGGCTCACACCCCCCCCCAATATTGAGCACTGAAAAACTGCCTGGCCAGGGGAACCTCTGGAGCTGGGAACAGCTGGGACAAAGTCAATACTGAACCAACCTCCTGAGTCCTCTGTTACTCAGTTTTCCTTCAGATAGGCTGAACAGTGGATTATACTGGATTTGCAAGGAGCACCTTCCACCTGCATTCTTTCCAAGGACTGCTCCTAGGAGTTGTTTCAACACAGCGTGGAAACTGCCCCAAGACTGCCCCAAAGAACTCCCCAGCCTGTCCCCAGGAACTGCCAGGACTGGAATTAGGGGCTTTGCTGCAGACCCAAATGTAACACAAAGCCCAGCATTTCCACACAAACTGCCACTGACCTGGGTCCAGAGGGATTCAACTCAGGGAACATTTCATTTTCTTCCCTCTGCAGAAGGGGCTGCCCCAAAACTCACTTTTATTTTCACTGAGCAGGATCCCGATTTCAGGGTCACTACAGCCTTGCCCTTGGTTCTGTTGAGGTTGGCAGAGCACTTCTGTGAACTCTGAGAGCAGCAGAACACAACCAGTCTCAGGGATCAAGGCCGTGGAGTCAAGGAGGTTCTAAAGCCTGGAATATCAGCTCTCCCTGCTCCTGGCTTTGCTGGCAGCTCTTGCATCTGTCACAAACGCTGTGTGAGAAGCTGTGGGACTCCCAGGACTCCTGAGTGATGGCCAAGCCACTGTGGGAGTGCCAACACTTGGATAGAAGATTCCCCTGCCTCTTACTCCCAGGTCCCATCCCAGCTGACAAGCCAGAACAAGCTCCCTCCCAACTGCCAGCACCAAACCCAGCTACCTGGGGGTAAGAAAGAGTGAGAACCTTCTTCCTGCTTCATATTCACACAAAACCCCTTCCTCACCTCAGGAGGGCACAAGTTGGGGACATGAGATCTCACCAGGTCTGTGGCACCCTCGGGATTTCTCATTCCTGATCAAGGGTCATGGGAGCCCAGGGAACCAGCTGAGGGAGCCAAACCAAAGAGGACTTCTAAAGTTTATTTGGGCTCATCTCTGCACTCGGAGGGCTGGGAAAGGAGAGTTCTGAACTGAGCCAGGGGTTAATGCTGCAAGGTGGAGGTGAGATAATAAACATCCAACTGGTTCTCCTTGTGCTCCAAGACTGGCAGTAGATAAAGCAGCCAAAACACGGCTGCTCATCCTCCAAACACCAGACAGTTGTGGATAATCCCTGCTCTCCCTCTGTCACAGGCTCTCAAGGCACCTTCCCAAGGCTGTTGCAGTACTTTGTACAACAACCTGTTAGGGGAGACAAGAACCAGTGATCCCATTCCCAGACAGTGGGGACACAGAGACCTGCCCAGGCTGAGCCTAAACATAACTCCCAGAAATCCTGGAATTACTCTCGCCTCTGAACACCACCACAGGCAGATTCAGGAGTAACAGCTCTCATTTCCTGCCTTGATCCACAAAAAACAAATAAATCACAGATTCATTTAGACTGGAAAAGACCTTTATGGTCATTGAGTCCAACCTAATGCTCAGAGCTCAGAGGTAAAATTTTCACTTCTGAGGCAGGTTTAGGGAAAATGACACATCTCAGAGTGATATTTGAGGGTCACAGCAGTGGGATTCACTGTTATTGTTTATATGACAAACACGAGGCTGCCAAAGCTGAGCTGGTGCTAGAACCAAGATGCCAACCTGAATGGCAGCAGTTACCCTCAGATCATATCCCAGGGCACATTCCTGGCAGGAGAGGGGCTGGCACACTCCAAGTGCTGCCAGGAGCATCCAACAGACCTCACCAACCAGGAGTTTATTGCCTCTTTCAGCACAACAAACCCTGCAAGTGCTTCTGTGAACCCGATTTCCTGATGTATCCAAAAGGCACTTCCAACAATTTAGAGCCATTAATGACTGCAGGGACCTTCCTGCCAGTCCTGGCACGGGAACAGCACACAAACATCCTAAGAGGAATCAGCTGCTCTGTCAAGCACTTGTGTTAACAGGAAAACAGGCACAAATCCTGCTCTGGAAACTCTGCAGTCTAATTTTCCCCTCGGGATCACTGGTTTTGGGAGCACATGGGTGGATTCAGTGGCAGCTGGGGAAGGATGGGGATGGTAAGGAACTGGGATATGAGACTGTTATTCCTTGCAGTGACATAAACTCAGTGACTGGCTTTCTCTCTCTCTGTTCTCTTCTCCCCCTTGTAAACCAGGACTGGTCTTTGACTCCCAGGAGGGGGATGAAACAAAACCCATTCCCGTGTGCCAGGAGCTCCGAGATCCGTGGATGACTGGCGTTACACGGGGCAGCTCCGAGCCCGGTTTAATTACACAGCACGTTTGTGTCGCTCTGCTCCCAGCCCAGCTTCCCTGGGAAACTCGGGAGCAGGTGGGAAGGGTTTCCCAGCCCAAAACCCTCTCATGCATCCAAGCAAGAAGCTGCAGAGCCCAGGCGGAGCTGTACGTACCCAGCCAGGGGCGAGGAGCAGCAGGAACAGGGTCCGGGTCACTGTCCCCAAGTCTCCAGACATCCCGAGCACTGGGAAGGGATCCAGGCTGCCGACTGACTCCCGCTCCTTCGGAGTTTCTCGTCTCTTTGGAGCAAGTCGCACATCAGCTTCTCCTTAAATATCCTCTGGAGGGGGCGGGCCCCGCGCTGAGCGACGGGCTGGAACCGAGCCCGAAGGGGTGCAACGAAAACTGCCCGAATTCCAGGGAACACGAGCGGATTCCTGCGGCCCCCGCGGTTATGGGGCTGCCACTGCTGCCCGCAGCCTGGTTACCTTCCAGGCGGGTGAATCAAACCCCAGGAAAAGCAGGATTGCTAGGGTTTCATTTTTACCTCTTTCCAGCTCCCGGAGTAGGAATCCTGTCGCAGCTTTGCTGCCAGAGCCCCCCTTTCCCTGCCTGCAGCCGCTCCTGTTTGGCTGCAGGAGCTCGGGGGTGAATAAGCGGAGCTTTGCGGTGCTCAGCGTTGGAGCAGGAGGGAGGGATGGGAAGTTTGGAGCTGTCAGGTGTCACCTCTGTCCCTGCATCGCTTGCGCTTCCAGCTCCCAGAAATTAAAGTTTCATCACTGGAACTCCTGCGCGAGGAGTGCTCGTAAAACTCCTGCGTGTTTTACAAGGCAACGAATAGCTCCAGGATGAAGAATTTTGATTAAGGACGGCACTTCCCTAAAGTGCTTTGTTTGTGCCTGGGGATTGATGCAGGATCTCACACATCTTTACTTTGGGGCAGTATCCTTTCTATTTGCTGCTGAAATCCAGCACCAGGCTTCTGTACAGCCAGCACAACAGACCTTTGGAATACGAGAGAGTTGTTTTGTGTATTAAAGAGTCGGTTTGTTTATTCCCGAAGAGGAGGCGGAGCGCTGCCGTGGGAGGAGGAGGAGGAGGAGGAGGAGAAGGAGGAGGAGGAGGAGGAGGAGGAGTGCAGCAGAGGGCACTCTTAGCCCTCGCTGGCCGGGGGTGGGACAGAGCAGCTCGGGGACCGGACAGAATGTGCTGCACATGGAGTGGCCTGAGAAAGGTGGAGCTGTGCCTTAGTCAGGGAGCTTTCCCGGGGAGAAGTGGTGCAAGGTCCGGTACTTATTTGGGGCCAGGAGAAAGCAGGGGCCGGAGCTCAGGCACTGCCCCACAGAGCCCAGCACATCCCAGCTCAGTGCTGGGAAGCAGGGCAGAAAATGAGGGAGTGTAGTAGGTCATAAAATCATAGAGTGACAGATCTCCTGAGCCGGAAGGGACCCATCAGGATCATCCAATCCCACTCCTGGCCCTGCACAGACACCCCAACAATCCCACCCTGTCTGTGAAAACATTGTCCAAATGCTTTTTGAACTCAGACAGGCTTGATACTGTGACTATTGGGGAGCCTGTTCCCAGTGCTCAACCACCCTTTGGATGGAAAACCTTTTCCTGATATCCAGCTTAAACCTCCCCTGACTCAGCTTCATGCCGTTAATTTAAATTGCTTTAACTCAATTTAAATTTTAATTCATGCCATGATTTACATTCAGCCTCCTTCCTGTCTGCCTCCAAGGGCAGGGCAGTTTAGCTGGGAATCAAGCCCTGAATTTCATCCAGGTCCTGTCAGGTCCCTGTGCAACAAGATCAGCCTCCACACTCCCTGTGTGTCCAAACTGACAATTCCGACTCTTAACTAATTAGCACTTGGAAAGCCCCTTGGGATTCAGGGCTGGAGAGCATTAGCACAGTGCAAACCACCCCAGATGCACCTTCTTCTCCCCTTCCATAAGAGGGATTTCTCAATCACTTCCATAACAGCCACCTCTGCCCGTGTCCCAGCAGAAGGTTATGTCTGCACACATTCATGTTCTGGAGGTGGCACAAACACCCAGTGCCCTCAGGCAGCTTGGAGCTCCGGGCATACATTCCTTCCCCTCTTGGAGGGCTTGGCACCCTGAACTATGTTGTCACCTAAAATTAGCTGCTCACATTTCCCAGGACATTCTCCCACTGCTCGTAAATAAGACAGGGATGAAGTGCTGCACCACCTCTGTCCTCATCCTCTCACCCTGCAGGAATATAAACCCCAGCTGAATCCTGAGCCCTCCAGGGCATCTGGAGATGACACATTTGTGGTTTTCTAGAAGGATCATCACCCTGTGTGATGTGTGGCTCAATCCATGGCTCCTTGTCCAAGAATAAGACATTCCCCTTTCTCCAGTGATAGGACAAGGGGGAATGGCTTCAGCGGAAAGAGAGCAGGGTTAGATGGGATATTGGGAAGGAATTGTTCCCTGGGAGGGTGGGGAGGCCCTGGCACAGGTTTCCCAGAGCAGCTGTGACTGCCCCTGAATCCCTGGAAGTGTCCAAGGCCAGGTTGGACAGGGCTTGGAGCCACCTGGGCTAGTGGAAGGTGTCCCTGCCCATGGCAGGGGGTGGAACTGGATGGGCTTTAAGTTCCCTTCACACCCAAACAATTCCATGATTCCATGATTCTATAAGAAGCAGCAGCTGCACTTTGAACCACGATCTTCCAAACTGTGCTTTAACACAAACCTGCTGTGTGCCCTGGGATGAACTGTTCAATCACAGTCCTAAGGCTCACCCACCTGTCAGGAGTTTTGTTGGGAACATTCAGCACTAAGCTAGCATTTTGATGGCTGATTGGGTTTTCAACCTGCAACAGAAGTAAAGAATAATTTGATTATAAAACATCCTTTCCAAGCCACTCATCATCATCATCCACCTGAATGCTTCCACCTTCCCAGAGCAGTAAAACACACTAAGTTCAGTCTCATTCATCCTTCAAGCCACCTTAGCTCTTGGAGTATAGGAGCAGTAGGATGTGAAGAGGAAGCATCAGCTGGAGATCCCTGGATTTTGGGAGCTCCCTACACCCAAGTTCCAAGATTTTCCTAGGGCACTGGGACGAGCAAAGCTACCCCTCATGTGAGGAGCTGAACTGTTCACCCCCCTGGACATACCCAGAGGGAAAAGGGGAACATGAAGGTTGAGTGCCTCAGAGTGATCAAAGGCAGGAAACACCCAGGTTAGCACTGGTTTGTATCTCCTTTTGCCTGAGCTGCCTCAAGTGAAGGGATAAAGATGTCAACCCTGCTTAAAATCTCCCCCAAGCAAAGCACAGTGGGTGTTTAATTCACCTTGTTACGTTCTTCTGGGTTCACTCATCCTGCCCAACCGGCACGTTCCCTGGATTCACAGTAATTAAAATAGAAGACATTCAGATAATTGCTAAAAAATCGTGTCAGGCCAAGGAATAAAATGAAGGCAAGCACACACACAGGTTTTTTTGGCTCGGTGGGATTTCTCCCTGCCTGCAGAAGCCAAAGCAAAAAGCTGGTACAAGCAGCATGGTACAGAGAATTGTGCTCTCCCAGTCCAGGGGATTGTCCTCACCCAGTCTGCAGTGACTTCCGAGCTGTCCCCTGTCCCAGAGCTGCTCAGTCACCCCCAGGACATGCTGGTGGCCCTAAAATTCCTTCTGAGGGTTCCTCCCTGTGTATCAGCTGTGTCACCACGTCAGTGGCTGTAAACTGTCAGAAGGAAGTGTCAGAGAAATGCAGCACCAGAGCTCAGCAAAGGCTCAGTTCTACACCCTGTCTAACTCCAATCAGGGTGCAAAGGCTTCCTTGCTCTAGGGGTGGAAAGGGCAGGAAAAACCACCCCTCCTCACTCCAGCACAGCCCTGGGATGAAATCCTGACTGCAGGGAAACACCCTCTGGCTCCAGCAGAGCTGGGATTCCCTCAGCATGCCAGATACACAGCCCTGAGGCCACTCTGCTGTGCCCACAGGGTGTCAGGGAGGGGACAAATTTTGTTCCTGGCTGCAGAGTTCACTTGTGAAATCCACATTTTTATTAGCTCTGGGAGGAACACCCTGCTGTATTTGAGGATTTATTGTGACATCGGAGTCTATCAAGGGATGTGACACTTGGGATGGGTGAGGTGGCTGCTGATGTCCTTGTAAAGGAAGTAAATATATAAAAACAGTCTTGGCATCACCAGTTTGGAAAGAGCCAGTGCTCAGACACAGAGCTGGCCAGGAAGAAGCAGACATTCTCCTCTAGGAAAAAAAAAAAACAAATGCCCCCTTTGGAGCCTGATCTTGGCAGGATGCAAAAATCCAGGTCTGCAGCAGCAGAGCACGAAGCCAAGGGCACCCAAGGAAAAGACACTGAACCCAGGGGATGCTCATTTCAGATCAGGTGAGCAGTGACAAACAACACTTCCAAGGATATCCCTGCAACAAGGCCATGGTGTAAGAGCAGGTGACCTCCTGAGACCCTTAACTGCAAAATTTGGCTGTTCAGATGCAACTGTGAGTCACCATCATGGCCAGGAGCATTTGTGCCGAGGCACGGGCTTGCACAGAACTGCAGGAGGAACAGGCCCTGGGAGGAAACAGCTGCACCCACCTGTGAAATGGATGCTTCCTCGGGTTTTTCCACTTCTTAACTTACTGCATGCTTAATTATCCTGAAGGAAAACTGCAGGGAGGGAGGGCATGTTTAAGGTGGACTCGGGCAGGGTCATTTAAGGAGGCTGCCCGTGCCACAGGACTGCTCTGATGTCTGAGACCAGCACTCCATGTCTCCTGGAGTTTGGTCCTCACCACCTGCACAGAAGGATGTGCTCAAGGGAAAGAGAAGGGACTAAGGCTAAGGGAGGTCTCCCTAGCTGTGGGATGTGGCATCACATTACTAGTTCTGCCTCCAAACACTGCATTTTCTCATCCCATTTTATGGGCACCAGGATCTGCCACCCCCTGAAGGAGCAGCTGCCCTGCCACGATGACCACGAGCTTCCCCCGGTGCCTGTGTGTACACAGCTGCATCCAAGAGGGTGCAAGGGGGAATTTTCCTCTGGATCCCACCCCTCCAAGGACCTCTGGCACCACCCGTGCCATAAACTCCAGGACTCAGACAAAACAGCTCTGCTGAAATCCCCAGTTCTTCCCTAATTCCCTGCACATCTCATCAGCCTCAACAGGCAGCAACAGGTCCCTGAGCTCTGCCAGGCTGGGAGGACCTCGAGGGGTGGGTGGCCTACCAGGACTGGTGTGCAGCTCTCATTAGGGATTTGGGATTCCAACAGGAGCCTGCCCACACCTTTCCCATTCAGGTTTTGGAACAATTCCAGCTCATTACATGGAATCAGTGAATAATGGAGGTTGGAAGGACCCTCAGGTCACCTGGTCCTCCTGCAGCCCCTCCCAACACAGAGGGTAGAGAAGAGGGGGAGATTTTAGAGACCAAGAAAGGGGGGCAGTGGGGTCCCCCAGTTCCTCCAGGCAGCTCTCCTGACAGCCTTTCCTGCACTAAGGAATCTCAGCCCAGAAATCCTGGATGAGTTTCCAGCCCCCAGGAGCTGTAACTGTGATCCAGCATTACAGAGGGCTGGCACCTTTGGAGAAGCAGGGGCTTCTCCCAGCTGAGGGGATTGTTAACCTTGGAATGTGACACAGTCACCTCCAAAATTACCTGTAAACCTGCTGATTAAATAACAGCACTGTCCTCCAAAGGGCTGCACAAAGTAAGTTACAAGCACACATTAAAAATGAAGTGGGAAATGTCAAGTGTGAGACTTTCACTTACGTGTTCTTGATTCCTTTTCTTTTTGTTACAGGCACACATCTGTGAGGTTGATCTTTCTTCTTTTCTCCCCTTTGTTTCCTTACTAATAGGTATTTTAGAAGTTTCACATCACAAATGTATGACAAAAGACAAGCCTCAAGCTCCATGAAGAGCCTCAGTTATAGGAATGGTGCAATTTTACACACACTGATAAGGAAATTGTCTGTGTTTGGAGCCACCATTGCCTTCAGACAGACCAAACTCACCCAAGCTGAGGAAGGTGAAAAGTTTCATCAGGCTGCAACCTTTGTGAGGGCTCTCACAGAGCTTTACATGAGCAGAGGCAGTGCTGGAGTCCTGGGCACTTTAAGTTCAGAGCCTTTATTTTCAGTTTAGCTTTTGCCACACTGTCTTTTAAATTCCTCATGACTGTAAAGCAAACCCTGACAAATTATTAAAGCTTTCCAAGTTTAGACCATTTGACCCCAGAGGTGCAATAATAGACATTTTCAAATCAGTTCCCAAAGCCTCAGTCTGTTGTTGTTGCTGTTTTAAGGAAGTTATTTGAACCAATAATTTTAAGCTCTATATTTTAAATTGTTTCACCCTCAGAAGCCTGATGTCATCTGGCAACAGAGGTGCATGAGGTGGGTCTGAAGGCAGACTTGAGGTGAAAAACAGGGTTTTTTTCCAATCTTATCCCTGCAGCACAGCCATGAGCCAGGTAAAAGAAAAGCTGTAGCTGGTTCCATTTCTTTGCCAGGCAAATAGCCCCAAATCATCTTTACTCCAGTGCCTCTTCATGCACAGTCATTTCACAATGTTCTCCCTGGTGCATTAGACTGGAAGTTGATGTCCTGCCTGGCAGGGACAGGCCAGTCTGCAGGGTCAGGAGGCTCTGCTAAAAAAGAAACTTACTGGGGATTCTCAAATTTTTACCATTTTGAGCCCAAGGTGTCCTGACCTCACAGAAAAGGAAGGGGGGAAATGAAAACCATGGAGCCTGGCTGTGTTTCAAGGAGGTAAGGGGAAAAAAGGCTCTTCCTGCCAGGGCAGATGTTGGTCACTTGGCACCTTGAGACCCCACAGAAATGGTCCTGACTGGCATTAACTGTTCAGGTTCCGTGTGTCCCTGATGTTCCAGGTGGGGGGATAACCAACCAGCTGCATGGACTGACCACTTCCCTGCTGAAACAGTGACACTCTGCCTGGGCAAGTTCCTCTGAATTCGTGATGTTCCTCCTCTGCTCATCTTCCTCCAGAGGAATCAGCAAGGGCCAGGACACAGCTCGAGCCTGTTCCTTCTGCCCCAGACCAGGAGGGCTGGCAGGGCCCTGTGGATCCCTCTCCTAGAACAAAGGAAACACAAAATCACTTCCAGCTTCTCCAATTCTTCTCAAAATAGTATGGCAGCTTAGTCTGTGCTGTTACCCTGTGAAAGGGAGCTGGAGAAACAAAAGGAATCAGGCAAACACCCATGTTCACACTGGGGCTGTTCCCTTCACCAGGATGCATGTGGGAAAGATGCTATTTTAAGCCCCAGGGGAATTTTAAGGGGATCTTGGTGAGGCTGTGCTGAGCCAGAGAGGAATCCCATGGACCAGCCTCATGACAAGGATATAACCCCCTTCTTCACCCTCCCCAGCAACTAAAATCAGAGTTGAAAGAAAGAATCTTGTGGCAGAAAAATTGCCCGCAATGAAAGGACTTCTGGAACAGAAGGATGAGGTGAATTTGACATAAAGAAAGGCAGAACTTCACCCTGAGCATTCCTGTGGCAAGTGCACAGTGATTCTGCCAGTCCCTGCTGTCACCAGAGAACCATTTCAGCTGGCACTGGGTGGTGTGTCCAGTGCAGGATAGTCCTCTGAGGTCACACACAGCACTGGCAGTCACTCCTCCTCTGCTCATTTTGAGAGCAACTTCATGGACAGTCACCCCACAGCCCCTACAAAGGGCTATGAGGCACATTTACAGCAGCACTGTGGGGGTTGGCAACGCTGCCATGCTCCCAAAAGATGACTGAAACATTCTGCCTGGTCACTGCAGCTACTGGTTCAGCTGGAGTGGAAAAGCCAGTATTTTCCTGGAGGGATTTGGGCTTTCCCCAGGGCATGGAAGGGAGGATGAAAGCATTTCTCCTGCCCTCTCCCTGCAGAATGGAGGGCCAGCCAGGATCAGCCTCTGCTGTTCAGTGAAATAGTCATAAAAGTGTGTGTATGAGAGATATATGAGGATGTGAGGGAGGGTTGGGGTTCTACAGTGCTTGTAACATCCTTCCACATCCTTCACAGGAAGATATTCACTCCATAAATATCCTGGGTTATATATCCAGGCTGGGCCTGGAGTTCATGCTGAGTTTAACAGGTTGTGCTGAGGGAGCAGTGTGTGTGTCTGGATGTGTGTGTGATTCTTCTCCCTTCCTGGAGGGAAGCTGGAGGGTTCTCTGGAGTATGAGAGCTCTGCATTTCTCCTCGGGCTAAATCACCACCTCAAAACAGAGCTGGTGTGTTTTTAGGAGGGAAGGAAAGCAAAACCCTCTGTTATTAGGGAATCTGGAGCTTCTTGGTGAGGGCTACAGGAACCTGAGCTCTGGAGAGAGCTACAAACCACTGACCAGAGGCAGGGCCTGGGGGGACCACACCAGTTTACACCAGTTTACACCAGCTGAGCATCTGACCTCGATTCTCTTTGGGCTCTTGGTGCTCGGGCTGATTCTGGAAACAATTTTTAGCATTTGTCTGCACTGCAGACCCCAAACTATCTCCAGCTCAGCACTGGATCTCTATTTCTTCTGGCAGTTGGGGTTGTTTTGATCAAGGTCCTAGCCTGCCTGAGGACTCAGAGCCAGCAGAGAAGCTGCTGTCAGCATTCCCAAAGCTCAGCTCTCTCCTGTTAGAGCATCCTGCTCCTCCACA